GATTTGTTTCATTGGTTTCTATTAAACTAATTATTCTTTATTGATTTATGCCAGAAAAGTAAAAAAATAATTATCCAAAACAAAATGGCGTCGGTTTTTAAAAAAACTTTAAAGTCATTTTTCTCAAAAATAGCATCGTATTTTTTTTTATTTTTTTTTTGTATATGAACACTTATATTAGAAATACACTCTAGGTATTTTCAAGTGCGCTAAAATATTTACATGGTTTAGAGAATTTTTTTTCTAAATATATTTGCATTTTGAAATTTATGTTTTATTGACGTATACTATTATTCTAAAATATTAAATAAATAAATAAATATACTATTCTTCATGAATAAATTTTTATAAAATTTTTTTAATTAAATTAATTAATTTCTAGTTATATATCCTCATGGTCAAAATAACAGATTTATAAAGTTAGTGAAGCTGAGTATTTTGATAAAAACCCTTATTTCCTACCAAAGATTTTAGTGGTGAGGATTTTGTTTGCAAAAATTGTTATCACCGATTTGCATCTTTATTTGGTACACCATCCAATATTCGAGTAGTACTGTAACAGGTGGAAGAGGTGGAGAATGACTCAGACATTGAAGAAGTTCTTTTTTTGCAAATTGACAAGGATTATTTTACGAATGAAATAAATGAGAATCGCTCGGTTTCAAAAAAGCGAAAAATTATTGGTGAACCAAAAACAATTCTTTGTCTTAACAGACAAAGTATAATAATAATAATAATAATGATAAATAATTTATGCTCATAACAAAAATCTTTACAGATATCGAGAACATGCAATGCATGCATATGCATTGTTCATTGTAAAATAATCCTCGTCAGTTTTCAAAAAAGGAACTTCTTTAATGTCTGAGTAGGTAATTCTCCACCTCTTCCACCTGTACCACTTGAACTTTTGTATGCAATTACGCGTAATCAGGACACTTTTTTCTTAAAGGAAATATGTTTAGAACTCATGATTATCACTTATACACATATCATAAAGGTTATAGCAATTTGACATTTTGCACACTAGATTTGATCAAGGGTTTACATTACATAAGCACATACCACTTCTATATTTTACAGGAATTAATTAATTTAATTAATTAAAAATATATTCAAATTTTTTAAAAAAATCATTTATTCATGAAGAATAGTATATTTATTTATTTATTTAATATTTTAGAATAATAGTATACGTCAATAAAACACAAATTGCAAAATGCATATATATTTAGAAAAAAAATTCTCTGAACCATGTAAATATTTTAGCGCACCTGAAAATACCTAGAGTGTATTTCTAATATAAGTGTTCATATACAAAAAAAATCAAGAAAAAATACGACGATGTTTTTGAGAAAAACTACTTTTTTTAAACCGCCGCACACTGGTCCGAATCGACTTATTCTCTGGCCAAAACTCGAAAAGTGAATGTAATAATGTGAAAATTTGTATTTTAGGGTTATTTGGGTCGCTGATTACGAAATTGATATCAAAATTATTAAATTCAAAATGGCGGACTAAAAATGGCGGACTTTTTTGACAAATAATTGGTTAATCGTCATGAAAATGTTAATTTTTAGGTTTCTGGGGTCGCTTATCACAAATTAGATATCAAAATTATTAAATTCAAAATGGCGCACCAAAAATGGCAGACTTTTTAAAAAAATATTTAGTTAATTCTCCTAAAAAATGTTATTTTTTAGGTTTTTGGGGTCGCTCATCACGAATTTAATATTAAAATTATTAAATTCAAAATGGCGGACCAAAAATGGCGGACTTTTTTGAAAAATAATTAATTAATCGTCCTGAAAATGTTAATTTTTAGGTTTGTGGGATCGTTAATCATGAATTTAAAATCAAAATTAGTAAATTTAAAATGGTGGACCAAAAATGGCGGATTTAAATTTTTTTTTAATTTTTGCAGTCGCTTATCATGAATTTGATATAAAAATTATTTAATACAAACCGGTTTGTATTAAATAATTTACATTAATGTACCAAAAATGGCGGATTTTTTTTTAATTATTAATTTATTGTGAGTATTAGGTTCGGCCTAATTCGGTTGTAAGGTTACTAATTTAGTATTATTGTAATAATTGTTAAATGGGAAATAAATGGAAAAAATAAAATACACTTGCGTACAAAATTTCAATGTTTATTAAATTAAAATTATACTATTACATTATTAGTCATAGTCATCAATGTCTATTTCTTCAGCTGCACTTTCTTTAATAGGTTCAAGGAGCTCAATGACAGCAGGATGCAATGATTCATTACCTTTCACCTTTAATTTTTGTAAGCTTATAATAAGCGGGTCCGAGGTTACAAGGAGCCGACAAAAAACGTCCGACATTGACTTTTCTCGAGAAGATTTTCTTGAAAAATTTTCGCGGTACTGACGAATATCTTTGCATAAATAATTTTTTCTGTATATTTGTTATCCTATTATAAAATCTTAAAAATATATTTACTAAGCATCACTGCGTTTAACCGCGACTACTGTCTCAAATCCGGGCACGAACGTGTATATTATTGTTTTATTAATTTTCGCGCAAGTGGCTGCAGCCAATTTTTTAAGAACCTTATAATAGACACTTCAATGAACGTTTCCCCGTAAAAAACGTCTTCCAAGCAATTGCAAAAAAGGGTTAAATAAAACTGCCCTATGGATCAGGTGGGGCGATTTTATACCTAAACTCTTTGGTTTTTAAATACTTCAAACATTTCTCTACCTAATGTCTAAAATAATGTCATAATTAATAACTTTATTTTTGGGGTTTTGGCCAAGGTCAAGCACGATTCGGACCAGTGTGCGCCGCCACTTTGTTTTGGATAATTATTTTTTTTTACTTTTACGGATTAATTCAATAGAGAATAGTTAGTTTAATAGAAACCAATGAAAAAAATCAAAATAAATACATGAATAACAAAGATTCGGTCCAAAACGTGAATTTATATTTCATTTTAATCGTCGTTGACTTTCGCTAGACATATTTCAAAATGCTCTGTAACTTCGTTACGAAAAGGATTTGAGCGAAACAAAAAAATATGTTTCGCCTTTTTTTAATTGAATAATTATAAAAAAACATTAATAATGAAATATGTGTCTTCACCCAAATTGCCCTGCATGATTTGAAATGAAATCGGCCAACGGTGTAATGTGAACAAGACAAGAATTTACAAATTTAATGTTTATTGTAATAACATTATTTAAAATCCCAACCTAACCCAAAATTCAAAGCAAATATATGAAGATTTTGGCCTATAACAGTCCAAACATGTAATTAAACACATAACAAATCGGTCTTTAACTGCCTCTTTCAGTAGTAACTTCGAATTATTTTTTAGCAAATAAATTATATACAGCTGAATGCCATATTGGTTTATTTCAATGGTGTTTATTTATAAGTAGGTTTAACCTCATCCTTTTACCCATCGACCAAGGTTTCACACCATTTTTTTAAATTCTGCCCTAAATCTAAAAATATTTACTTTAATTTTAATACTCAAACCAACACCATTTAACCAAATGATATAAGTGAGACATAGGTATTCCTATTTATATACATAGTATACTAAACAATAGTTATTTGTTGAAAAGCGAGTGTTTAAGTTGCTTCTATTCAATTTATATCATTAATTTAAATTTAATAAATGAACTAAAAGTAAGAAAAATAATTTTTCTGTGATCCTTGGGTATACAACTAAAATCTAAAATAACTCAAAAACAAGAGCTAACGTACTTTAAATAGGTAATCCTAATGGGGGTTAGATAAAAAGTTTCCGATTCAAGCTCAGTTTAATTATTATAATTAACCTCAATCAAAAGAATTCCCATCATTCTTACACAACCAAGTTTTTATTTAATTATCAATCCCAAATTCTAATAAATTTGCCCTCAGCTAAAATGATAGTAACCACTTAGTCAACATGTAAACCAAATAGTTATTCCCAATCGCACATTATTAACACGCGTTCTACTCGTACAAATTTCAATTGAAATATAGTATATTCTGCGACTAGTGGAACAAAGAGGAGTTTCCACTAGTGGGCAAAGTAGAATTTCATTCACCGGTTGTAGTTAAGAAATGAAATAGTTGTTGAATAATAGTTTATTGTGAGACTAGTGGGAGAAAGAGGAGATTCCTTGAAGGTAGCGAGTAACACTCAAGTGGAATATCCTCGCAAACAATATTTTTTTTTATCTACCGCAAGGAATTTAAAGCCAATTATATTTGATATTTTAACTGACAACAGTCCAGCACTTTTTTCCAATTTCGATTAGAAATAAAATGGGTTTATTTTAATAGATTTAATTAAATAGAAGATAATTTTCTAATAATAATAATGAGATTGGAATGTGGCCAATATCTCAAATTCATATTTCCAAATACATTAAAAATTAACGAATTAAAACTCCTTTAAAAATATTTGGTATTTTTTATAAAAAAAAGGTTTATGTTTATATAAGTTATTTATATTTATTTAACATGTGCACTCGCCAGGAATATTAAATGTCGTGGGCAAAATAGTTAATTCCCTGACTGTTCATTTCTTAAATTGAAGCAGTGGGCGAAATGTTACTTCGCTCACTAGTGGTAAAATAGCTTTAGTCCGCGGGCTGAAGTTAGCTTTAAGATAAAATTGGAAAAAGTAAAGTAAAGTTAAAGCTGCTTGACAGTCAGATAAAATATCAAATAAAATGGGCTTTAAATTCCTTGCGGTAGTTAAAATATTGTGTGCGACTATTCGCTACGCTCTTGCGGCAAACTCCACATCGAGGAATCCTCTCTTTCTCTCACCAGTCGCATAATATATTATTATTTAGCTAAAATTTAACAAAAAAAATTTCCAAGAAATATTTTTGTAATATGAAAAAATCTATATCGTTCTTGCGTTATTAGTTTTTCCAATGTTCAGTTGTGCGTTATTAGTTTTTCAAATGTCTAGTTGTTATTTGCGATGTGAACAGTAAAAATAGAAACAAATGATTTTCTTACCTAATACTGGTATCTCAAATACTATAATTAAGACATTTAAAATATCGTCATGATTCATTTTATCTTTTCTTGTAGGTAACTCCATTTGAAGGTTGCCAGCCAAAGTGACTAATGCATTTACCAGGGTATTTTCATAAATAGAAGAATTAAGCTCAAGAATCGCTGAATAACAGCGTCTTAAAGAAGGTATGTCAACAGGAGGTATTGAATTTTTACTAAGTTCAGTACAGGAATCCTCATCTTTATCCTTTTCTCCTTCCAAAGACCTAACAGCTTCCTTGTCAAGTCCGCTTATAACATCTAAAATAATAAATATGCATGGTTTAGTTAAATTAAAATTTGTATTTGTATTGATGCAATACCGGGTGTACATTTTATCCGCAAATGTCCGGAATTGACGTAATGACACTTTCATCTGATTTCACCCGCGATCGCCTGTAATTCGTCGGTTTTATAAAAAAGCAGTAATTTGCCGACAAAAGCGGATGAATGCAGACTTGGAAGAAAATGCAGACATTTGCGGATAAAATCGGATGAATGCAGACATACCATCAAATGCAGGCAATCGCGAATAAAACCGGACGAATATGTGGATAAAACCAGATGTATGCAGACATTAAAATTAAACGGTTTGTATCGGACAGGTACTGGTTTTTATTGGGTTTTATACGTTACCAAACGGTTTTAAGGCTAAATATAAATTCCCCCATCAAACTAATTTGTTAATTATGTTCTCCAATTAGTACATATTCAAACCTATAAAACCCAATACATACATTTCCTTGGATTTCTATTGTTCTTATTTTTCTATTGTATTTTCGGCAGGGAATACAGGCATATGCAGATAAAATCGGGTAAATGCAGACATAAAACCAAATGCAGGCATTTGGAAACAATCGCTTAAAAAACCGGACAATGAAATTAGACATTTACAGATTAAACCAGATGAATGCAGACATAAATCCAAATGAAGGTATTTGCGGATAAAACCGGACGAAAGCAGACAAACAAAAATCAGGCAGGCGCGGATAAAGCAGGACGAAAACAGACATTTGCGGATGAAATAAGATGGATGCGCGCGCACTCAATATACATTTCACCGCTGTTTTTAAAGGGTAAGGATTTATAAGCAAAGCCATGGGTGTGAAACAGTTACTTTGAAGACCCATCCACTGGGGGGTAAATAAGGTTAATACCTGTTTAGAAAGCAAAATGGCTTTATAAGTAGCGGTAAATCTATGCACTAGTTTTACTAGAGACTACAGTCTACTCAACCCCTTAGTGCAGTGGTTTCCAAAGTATGAGCCGTGGCGCCCTGGGCACCGTGGAGGGAGCTAAGGAAAGCCGCTTTTCATGCATTTTTGTCAAAGATAATTTTAACTAAAGTTTGATTAGTTCAACTGATTTTGAATTTGTTTGCATAAAACCACTGTTTTGATTGTTAATGAGCCATGTTTATTTTTTCATCTGCTTCTTGTTTTGTTGTAACAGCATAGCAACACATTTCATATGTATCCACATTCCAGGGCAGGTCATTTAAATAAATTGTCACAAAACGAAAACGGTTTAAAATTTTTTGTGAAATTTAATTTAATAGAGAGGTGGGAATCTACGAAAAAAACTAGGCATGTGTGCAAAACAGTTTTTGATTTGCGCCTTCGCTTACGGAATTATGATTTATTAAATTATAAAATACTAAAAAATATTTTTAATTTATTTATCAAGTGTACGAAGTTTATTTTAAAAAAGAGTGAGAAAGTGTTTGGAAGTTAAAGGGGGACATTTTAAAGAATTCATCAAACATAGCAGACGATAAATTAGTTGAAATTTAATTGTTAATAATTTTTAGAATCTTATAATCTAATAAATTATAATTCAGTAACCGAAAGCGCAAATCAAAAACTGGTTTGCACACATACCTAGTTTTTTTCCTAGATTCGAATTTAAAAATTACATCATAGTTTTCTTTTGTAAACTTTATTTTAACTTTTATGTTATTGTGTTTGTCCTATTGTATATTAGTCCTTCGGAGGGGACTTTAAGCCTGCGGTCCGTTTCTACCCCTAACCCACTCAAGCAATTCAGTTGGCTTTTGGGACTTATTAGGAAGTAAGGGTGAAACTAAAATAGCACTTTTGTATATAAACTTTAACTAAGGGCAGGTAACCTTTGATAAAGATGTTTTTTGTCAATTTGACAATTTTTTACAAAATTATTAATAAAATAATTCAATTGCACAAACTCGTTAGAGGTTATTATTTTATATAGTATTTTAATGACATTACAGTGGTCCTCTAGCACCCTTATCTAAACTAGGCATAAACTAATTTAGTATCATTTATATTTAGTATTTATTTAGATTATCTTTTATAAAACCGGATTAATAGATATGAAAAAAATGTATGTACAGTCACGCAAAAGCAGATGATTGCGGATAATTGACAGTGCACTAACCGGACGAAAAACAGGTAGAACCGGACGTTCACGGATAAAGCAAAGCGGACATACGTAACGCAGGTATACGCAGAGAAGATTTTTATCTGATTTCCTCCGGTTTTGACTTATATTTCATTCGAAATGTACGTCCGCCCATGCCTGCTTTGTTCAGCAGGGTAGAAAAATCATAATATTGATTTTTTCAGCTTCCAAATTAAAATTTCAATAATCATTAGATAATTAATGTAAGAATTAGCAAATTAACAAAATGTATAAAATGTTTTTTATTTAACTCAGAAATTAAAGGATTTTCTATTTTTAGCATCCGCTTTGGTTTAACAATTCCTTGACTAGCTCACCATTTTTACATTTCACCATGAGTTATGATTAATTATTTTAAATTGCAATAATGATTTTATTTTAATGTCGGCCTACAGTTACGAAAACACTAGAAAATCAGAAAATTTTGACCTGGTAATTTTTTAAAACTTGATAAGTAATAAAATCATCGAATCGGCCGAAGTGAGATCAGTTTGTCTATGACTAAATTAAAATAAACAATTAAGACGTTTTAAGCTGTTAACCTTGCTCCATAAATCCATAAACAGAGAGTATAATTTTAATTGTGTCCTCTTTTAAAATTTCAGTCGCGCCTGCTCCTACTTTGGAAATAAATTCGCGGCTCGTACGAGCTGTGCATTAGGGTAGGCCAAAAAATCTTTTTTTATTATTTCATATGTCCTGGGTAACCAAAAGTTGTCTTTTTGGTGTAGTATTTATGGTACAAAACTTATAATATCTTCAGGTGCCTATGTGCACTTATAGTTAAGGTCAACATTGTAAAAATTATGAAATAAACCCAAAGTGATTTATTTTGTTTACAGGTCTGCAAAAATGTAATTTTTGTAACAAAATTAATTTATTTTTATTTATTAGGTAAATTAAATTTAGTATTTTGGTATACTAATTATTTAAATTACCTTGGTGTTGGGTATAAAGAGAAGACTATATGTATTACATATTATGTAATGTTTACTTTATTTGTGTTTATGATTTCTCTGCTTAAAATACCCCATACAGACCCTGTTCAAACGGATAGATATTTGTATCGGAATGTATTGTGCTTCTATAGGGTGTATCGGTGTGTATAGGACCCATAGTTGGGATTTATGGTTGTTCTATAGGGATATCTACCCTTGATTTATTTGCTATTGGTTTCAAAGGGGAAAATACACATAAATGTAGAAATTAGTTTTCCCCCATAGGACCCCATAGGTTTTTATAAAAAAATTTCAAATGTTTTATGGTTGTTCTATAGGGATATACCTATATATCCTTCATTGAGTTATTTGCTATCGGTCTCAATAGGGAAAATGTAAAAGTTATAGTGTGCCTATAGGTGATTTCCTATAAATTTTCTATCGGGCCGTATCCGGAAAAAACATGGACAAATGCACATATTGAATCCGGTAGCGCCCGATTATTTTATATAGGTCTCTATGGGGTATTTTAAGCAGGTTTAGCAGCGAATTAATATTAGAGTTTTTGTGATATTCTAGTCATTTTTTAATTGTGCGAAAAATGCCGAACACACGTGAAAACATTGAATGTGAAGTGTTTGAAGCACCAAACAGAACTAAAGTGTAGCCCTGCTTAAAATACCCCACATAGCGACGTTATGAGGGCATATTTGTGGCACAAACAATTAATACAAGTGTCATAATAGCCATTATTATAATAGATACTTGTCAGACAGATGGCAACGTGTTATCTAATATTGCGGTTTCACGAGAGGGAAATATGCAATTCCAAACGTGTTTCAGACTATACTTTTTCTAGGTTTCCAAAAAATACCATAGAAAAATAATTTAAGTGGAAGAAAGTGAGGTTGGATCGGTCTAAAATTAGATATTAAAATAGAGATGTCGCCACGAGTGTTTATTCTGTCATCCTATGATAGAATATTTCATTTTGTAACACTTTACGGAATATATGTCATTCCATATATAAAAGTGATATTTGAACGGTCATATTCCGTAATAGGAGTAGAAAAACTATATTAAACGTGCAGTGTATTAATTAAAGTAATATAACAATTATATTACGACATGGCGCAGTCGAGGTACTAGAAGAAGAAAGAAAAATGGTAAAAACGAACCTTAGAAAATTGTACACGTGGAAAACATAAACTAACAATTAGGAAAAAGCCGTAAGAAGTGCGAAGTAAAGAGACAAAACGAAATAACTACGAAATAAAGGATAAAACGTAAGAAGTACGAAGTAAAGTTTAATAATTAGACAGGGTAGAATACCAGATGTTTTGAAATTTGAAGGCAATGTAGCTGATAATTATAATAAATTTATGCAAGCTTTTGAGATATATTTAGAAGCCACTGGAAAAGACAGTAAAACAGATTCAGTTAAGGTAGCATCCTGTTAAATTTAATTGGACAAGAAGGCATCGACGTGTACAATACATTTAAATTAGATGACACAGAAAAGAAAGACTATAAAAAAGGAGTGGCAGAATTAAAAAAATACTGCATACCAAAGTCAAACAAAATATATGAGAAGTTTGTGTTTAATAAGCGAAATCAGAAGGAGAATGAGCCTTTTGAGCACTTTTATGGTGATTTAAAAAACTAATAAAGTCATGTGAGTACGGAGACCAAGAGGATTCAGTCATAACAGACAAAAAAGTGTTGGGAATAAGAGACCTTAAAGTACAGGAGAAATTATTAAATGTGGAAGTCTTAAAACTTGATAGAGCAGCAGAAATTTACACTTAAGGAAAAAATAAAAATAGTAAGAGATGGTGACAAAGTTAAAATAAATGCAGTTTTAAGTGGAAATAAAAATTATTC